TCCCTAACACAGTGCACACAGTCTGGAGCTGTCACTGGGGTCCTGCACAGCTCCAGGCCGGCGTTTTAACGAAATGGGCATATTTCCGTGCATTTGCCATTCAAATGTTAACGAAACGGACAGATTTCGTGCGCAACAGCGGCTTCCGGATTAAAACAGTTTATGCCTAATGCTCAGTCTAGCCACAAATCCGGCTCATTTCCTGGGTAAACAGTGTGATGTGAAGCAGCCTGTCCTTCTGTTGTAATAAAACCAGTTTAATGCACCTTTAAGCACATCAGCCTACCCACAACCAAATCGGCCTCATTTCCTGGTGACAACAGGAGATTGTTAGCCGGCTGCTGTCGGATTAAAACAGTTTAATCGCACTTTTACACTCATGTACACCGTTCATCATGGTCTCCCTAACACAGTCACACAGTACCTGGAGCTCTTCACCTGGGGCCCTGCACAGGCTCCAGTCTGGCGTTTTACAAAACCGAAACCGGGAAAAACCGGAATTTTCCCCCGTCCCATTTTGGGCCGTTTCCCAAAGTTACGAACCGGCCCCACGATCTCCCGTCGCAATAGCCGGATGTCCGGATTTAAACAGCCGTTTAACTGCGCCTTTTTAACCACTTCAACGCAAGCCAGATTCCTGCCCTTCCTTTCCTGGGGTTTACAAAAGTGCAGGTGACCCGCAGCCCTGTCCCTCTGAGTCCCTCCCCGCCCCCTCTCAGAAGAATTATTTCCTGGTAAAAAAAAGCCCAATGTGCCCATTCCCCGCCCCCTGGATCCCCCTTCTGCATGTGGTGTTGGTCCCCCCTGTGAGTTCCTCTGGCTACTGCCCAATCCCCCCCGCCATTATGGAGGCATTTCGGATACATTTCATTCCCCTCATTTTCTAACCCCACTTTTTCCAATGTTTTTTTAATGTTACTATTGTTAATTTAATTATTATTGGTATAAAATTGTTTAACTGGTTATACCTGCGTTTTTGGACAAAACATGTGATTTATTAAATAAATATAAAACATGAAACATTAACCTGGGAAAGTTCTCCCCCAGGGGGGCCCCCCCCAAATACCCAAAAGTGCCAAGTTGTTCCCAGACCTATTTAAACAAGATTACCCAGGATTCCAGACCCTCCCCCCTTGGCCCTTTGTAAATGCGGGTGCGCCCTGGGAGGGTATCCCAAGTAATTTTAAACACTTTTTCCCTTGCCCCATTCCCAAACACCGTATCCCCTGGGTGGTTCTTTAGCCTGTCCATTTTTGCCCAAAAAGGAATCCCATTTAAAACTTGAAACCCTCCTTCCCTGAAAATGAAACATATCCTCCCCGTTTGGCCATTTTCCGCGGCAGGAGGTTACATGTTTTAATTTTAATTCCGCCCACAAATGACGCTAAACCGCCTTCTTCCCACACTTCCTTTTCCCCGACGCCCTCCTCCCCTCAACCCCTTTTTCGACTATTTTAACCAACTTTTTCCCCCCCGCCTTTTCAAACCTTTGTTTCCTGGGTTTTTAAATAGCCCTTGTCCCATCTTTGCAGGAACCATTAAACATGGAATTCTTCTCTGGAATGAAACCCTATTCCCTGTGGCCCATTTTTCCCCAGGAA